TCTCAAGAAACTTGTTTCTTCTAGCAATTTTCCTTCTATCAAGTTCATTGTCCCTTACCACCCCAATATCCCTCCCTATGATAATTTCATCTTTTGCTTGTGCCTAGTTGCTGCTTAAAATGCCAGTTGTTCTGGACCGGTTCTGAGAGTAGTAAATTCAGATGTTGAACACTGTCAACTTTCTCTTGGAACGTGGGGCTGTTCAGATTCATGCTAAGAGGGCTTTTTATGTTTGCTTGGTTGATCCTTTCTAGAGCTCAACTTTTTCTGTTTCCTTGTTTTGAATCCTGTGCTGACTGGATGCAGTCCAATCTATGGCCACATCTCCTGATGAGGAGTTGATCCCCGAGTCCACTCAAGAGTCCGTGTGTGCCTTTCCCCCATTTCTGCTCTCCTTTTAGTTTATTCAGGAGCAAGTGGAAGGAATGTGGAGGAGGAGGAGGAGGAGGACGTAGTGGTGACACAAGGTCCCTCCCGCCAGCCGCCAAAGCCACTGCGTGCCCAGTGAGTGCAGAGCAAGGCTGGGTGGGACACAGAAAAATTTGTGCAACGCATGGCCAGTGGAGTGGGTGGGACGCCTGATCCTGGGGCTCTGGGTGGCTATAAGCCTGGCCTGGATGCATTGGAGGGAAAGTGGGAAGAACTACAGTGGAGAGAAAGGAAAGGGCACCTTATAGCAACAGGAAGCGGACTTCTTGGGAGCACAGGCTTACTGGGGCTGGTGGCTTTCGGGGCGGAGAGGGCCTGGGATGCTTCTGAGTCTGGCCCTGCCCACGTGCTCCGGGAGGGGGCACCACCCTGGAGCGGAAGGATGCAAAGCCTTTGCAGGACAAGGCTCCGAAGGAGGAAGGCCGGAATTGCCCACCACCCGGCCCTCAGGTGTCCAGACCCTCTGCCCCACACAGGGAAAGCTTTTGTCTCTGATCAGCTGCTAAGCTCAGGGAAAGGGAGCCTTTTCAATGATCAGCGAGGAAAGCACTTATCCCTAATCAGCTGCTGGTTGGAGATAAGAACTTTTCTTTGCTCTGTGGGACAGGAGGCTAGCCCAGGACACAGAACTGCCAGGCCCGATGGGTTCACAGACCAGAGAGTCCACTCTCAGGGTTGTAGGACGTGGCTGCCGAGGAGCAGAAATTAGATATCGAGGGAGGCTCAACTGCTCGAGTCCTTGATGCAACCAGCATGGATTAACTGAACCGTGTGCAAGAGACAAGCATATCTAAGAACACAAGGTGTCCTCCGTTGTTAGATCTGGAGGGATGCATGGCTCCCTTTTCCCCTGTTTGAAATTCAATTCGTTTGGAAACTTAGCTCAAGTTTAATCGCAAAATCCAGCGCCACGGGGTTAAAGCCTTCAATATGATGAATGCAAGGCAGTGACAAAATGCACGGCTCGCTACGGCCTCTAATTTAAAAGATAATTTGCGTGTCACAAAGAGACAAATCAACTCCCAGGTGACAGCTGTTTCCTCGAGTTCATTCCTGGCAATGCACACCATGTGCAGAGGGGCTAATCCAGTTACAAAGGCACTGAAGAGGCACCCTTCTGCCTTTGTTGCCTGCTGCGTGTTTACAGGAATGGGCAACACGCAAATCAGATTAAATAACCCAAGACACTGTTTCCATATTTCTGCCCAGTAAGGCCGTGCAACCAGGTAAGCCAGAATTGTATCTGTGGGGAAATGATTTTACAGCTGCTGCAGCTTCCCTTTTGAATGGACGGCGATCGATATTGCGTATTTTCAGCCGCTTCCTTCCACACCTGGCGTTGAGAGGGTGCCTGGGCACGGAGAAGGATCCGCGGAGGTTTATGTCGGGAGGCACAACCTTCGCTGCTTCTTTGACAGCCTGCTTAGCATTGAGGTGCATTCAGGGCCCGGTGACTCCTGCAAATTACACAGACCTGCCACCGTTCGAGGGAAACAGGTGAACCGGCAGCCTCATCGGGTGCGTCTCATGCAAAATTCCATGATGAACATGCGGCAGATCAGTGTTCAAGATGCACACATCTAGCAGTGTGTATGGATAATTAACCAGGTTAATGTTACACTGGATTTCCTGTGTATTGACATTGTACAGCAAGCTGTTACTGGTGCTTCCTAAGCCGTCTCTGTATGCGCCATGATAATGCAAACATGACCGGGCAGGGGAATGAGCCCTGACTCCCAACATGGCGGACAACTGCTCAGGCCATGCTTTGCTGGCTGAATGGAGCCAAGTGGCACAGGTATTAGGTTGTACACTTCGGAACATTCCAGAGACCACGGGATGGCTTCAGTCTCCACCCCGAGGTCAGAGAGAATGCTGTGACTCAGAACCCGGGGCCAGAGATCCAACTCTGACCCTTTGCAATCGGTGTTACAAGCACCCCAAAACTCTGCTGGGCATTCATCTGGAAGCGCATGGGTGTCCTTGCTCTTGGAGAAAACAAGCTCCGTCAAGGTATCTAAGCTCTGCATGTCCCTACAGAAACTATGTGGCAGGGGGCGAAATCACATCAAGAAATATTTGGTGCTGATTTCTAACCTTCCTGATGAAGCCAAATGAAAGGAATAAATGTTGACCAGTTTAATTTGGCCATTGAAGAATTGTTTTTGAACGGCTTTTCAGATGCCCCCCGCCCCCCATATTGACTGGGTTCATGCGACACACTAAACCAGAGTGGCATATAAATCAGGGATGGCTCACTCGGCTGTCTGAACCCACCCAGCATGGTAGCAACTTACGCCAGAGGCCCGTGATCAAGTTCTTCTCACCAGCACAGACCCACGAGGCCTATTTAAACTCTGGTGGGTTGAAGAGGTTGCCCTGGCAGCTCTTTTGAATATTCAAGCCGCAAGAAATGATTGCCCTGGCCTAATGGGTCATGCAAACTCTGTGAGGATGGGTTTTGCCAGTATTAAACAACCATCTCTTAACCCACAGGTTGCGATGGAGGTTTTCACCATCACGTAAGTGAATCCTGCTGACTTTGAACAAGCCACGGTGAGAGCTCACCCCCGCTTGGATTGTCAAAGGGGTGGCTGGCATCGGCTGCAAGCCACCTTAGCTTAAATAAGCCACGGTGCCATGGGCTGCAGAGACCGTGCAAACCAGTCGACTGTTGCCTTTCCTCTCCCACTATCTGACCTTAAAAATCCAATTGCGAAGCTGTGGAGAGTGATCGTGAAGTGAGAACTTGTTTTATTGGAATGACTATATCCGGCGAGGGTTAATTGAGCCTCCCAAATCTCCATCCAGGGAGACCTCTTAAATTTGCTGCTCAGAAGAGCAACCCCCATTCTTCCTCTCTGTCTCCCCTTCTTCCTCTGGAGGAGGCTCAACTGCTTCACATGCCAGCAGCTCAGCAGCTGAGATTTGTTCTTCCTTATATTCATCCCAGCTCCCAAAACCTTGGCTTTGGAGCTCACGGTTGTTACTAAGCTCCTCCGTCCAACTTCTCCCTAAACGACTGCACTTGCTCTACTTCCGTGCCTCCAAAACTTTCTCAGATTCCCTCCCGCTTCCCCATTTCTCCATCATTCAAATCTTCCCAGCCTGGAACTTCTTTCCTGGCCCTTTCCTCCCTCCCTCTCCGTAATTAGCCACATGGACACACTTTCTCAGGAAGGCTCTCGCGGCCACCGAGTTTTTGCTAGCATTTGCTCCTCTCTTCAAGGGCTAGTTTCAGTTCAAATGCCAGCTGCTGCCTTTGGCTCAGCGCTCCAAACTGATCTCTTCAAAGGACCACAGCTCCATCAGTGCTCTTTGAACGCAGGCAAGCTGTTTGCTGTGCGATCCAGTGTACCCGGTTTTATGACTGATTTATGGATGCTATGATCTCGCAGCCTTCTCAGTCGTGATATACGATCCTAATGTCCCTGATGCACGTATGGCTTTAATTTCTCCGGTGCGTGGGTTTGACTGATTTTAAACTCTTCTTTAATCAAACAAGGAATGGCTTTCCAGGACCCTGCCTGTGATCTCAGAGATTTAGGTTAGATTTAGTCTTTTAGCTACTGACCCGGGATGGGATACTGCCCAGTTCTGTGGTTCTTTTTATGCCCCATCGTGTGCTGGGTTTGGCATTCTGCTGGGCAACATCAAACTCATTATCTCTTAATCTTGCTTTTGGCTAGCTGTGCATCATGTATTCAGACCGCACACCTTTGCCTAACCCAGAGGTGAGCGGGAGGCATTGCTCGGGGGAAGTAATCACTGCGTTGTGGAAAATTCTGCTCTTCCCGCTTGCTGTAGTGTTGATTGGCAGCCTTTGCAGGCATTAAAACATGACTCCGTCACTCTAAGCACCAGCTACCGCAAAAGCTTGTTGTTGTGAGGATAAAACGGAGCTGTGTAGGCAGCTCTGGGCACCTCACAAGAGGAAAGAAGGGCAGCATATAAATGCAGTGGAATAACAGGAGCAGCAGGTGCCAGTGCAGGTACAGTCCCATGCAAATTGAGTCAGAAAAAAGACCTAAAGCTCCCAGCATGCCAAAGAAGTGATGCATGCTGGGAGTTTTAGGTCTTTTTTCTGTCTAAACATGGATAGGATGGTGCCTTTAGTTTTGCTGAATGTCATTTTTGTTTATTATTATTTAAAGCTGCCCACTCATCTCTAGGCGACTTATAGTCAGCAAATTTTCTGCAGAACAAACGCGCGCACACAGAAGCCAGCCAGTGCAGCTGATAGCTTGCTATTGCCCTTCTGGCCTCACAGAGGTGGGAGAAAGGTACTCCGAGGCTGCAGGTATGACAAAGTGCAGGAATATTAAGGGATTCCAGAACAAAGCATCTTCCTGCCAGCCCAGCCCCTAAGCACGCCACAAGCAGGGAGGGAAGAGATCAAGGAGTTATTTTTAAGGCACTTGCAAAGCACAGAGCTCTTCTGCCTGAACTCTGCTCGTCTGACCAGGCAGGGCTTTGGATTATTCTTCTAGGCTAAAACCAAGAGATGCTTCCCCAAGACCGGCCCAAAAATGACAGTATCAATTTCCTATCCAAAGTGTAATCCATCCTACCTATAGAGATTGGTGATCAGTCCCTCCCTCCAGCGAGAGCAGAGATTGTTCAGAAGACGCTCATGCTGTCCAAAGAAGCAGATGTAGTTGGAGACGGGAATGTGCTTCTTGGAAAAGCAGGTGATGGTTTCTATCATGCTGTACTGGTTGACATGTATTCTGAAGTAATTTCCCTTCACAGCATCTCCGGTTGTGATTGCTATTCCCTGGGATGAATTAAGAGAACCATTGAGGCAGGGAAAACAAGAGAGCAGGAGAGACGGTCGCGAGCGAGTGCCACGGTGTTTCTACCTTTGGCAATTGGACACAAAGGCCTCAATCCAAGGGTCTCATTGTTAGACAGAAGACCAGTTTTAGTCAAATGTTCAGAGTCGAGGCTCTTGGCACCCTTTTTGTTGACTAGCCAAGATGGAAGTCACCTGAGAACTTAGTTTCTAGGATAAGAACCTGAAATGGTTGTCAGACGCAGTTTCACTCACTGCAGCACAGTTCGCTGTTCATGCAAGAGCTTTCTAGGAAGCAGAAAACTGTGATACCCCAAGACAGTTGCAATATCAAATCAGTCTGTTTTGTGTCACCCATGAATACTTACATAATTAGGTTGTGTTTCTTGTACATCCAAGCGAGTGGGAATTCCAGGTTTAAAAATGTGCACATAATTATATTTTTCAGGTAGAACACCACCTGTCAGAAACCAAGTGATAAGTTATCAAGGCCTATATTGGTACATGCCCCTCTTTTGTTATTTTTAAAACATTTCCAAAGTGATCAGAGAGGAGCAGGTGGTATCTTACTGCCATTTCAATGTTACCTTCAATATTCTTCTCAACATTCTATTCCAGCACAAATCCACAAATGTGATGACTGTTGGTGCTGTTATTCTTATTCATTAGCTTTGTTCTATTTCAATATAAATATATGGTTCACACAATAAAAACAATAAACAACACTGAGATAGCAATAAGCAAGCTAAAATGTTTTGGCATGGTTAATAAAACTAGAAATGGAGTATCTTTGAAATTAAAACCATCAAAAAGCAACAAACGTCTTCCTTGCTGGGTGAGGAACAGTGAACAGAGCAGGGAATCGAGACCAGGAAGGCTCCTGAGGGGACGGGAAGGTTGGAGCCGACGGGGCAGAATGAGCATCCTGCAGCCGGCCAGAGGCTTGGGCTCTCCTCAGCTCAGGTGAAGTGGCTTCACCGTTCCACCTTTCCATGCCTGGAAAAGGCCCTGCAAAGCCAGCGAAGAGGTGGGGAAGCCCAGGGACTAGCTGCTTTTAGGAGTCTGGCTGTGTCCCTCGATGTCCTCGGCCTGAAAGGGCCTCGTAGGAGCCATCCAGCCGCCCTCCCCACCACAGCTTCCTGCCCCTGCTTCAGGGGTCATGCAATCCAGAAAGGGTCGCTTGAGCTCCCCTGGGAGCAGCGAGAAACGCTCTTGAACACCCCTTGCCTTCCGGGGGTGGAGGGCAAACAGGAGCAGTTTGGTCTCCCAGGGCAAGCACCTCATAAAATACCTTGCTCAACGGGAATGGGAGATTGAGCACAGTCAGTGACCCTGTGGCCCATGTTCCGTTTGGGTGCCAGGAAGCACTTCCTGATGGTTAGGACCCCGAGGGCATGGAAGGGGCTTCCACGGGAGGTGGCTGAGGCCCCATTGGTGAGGGTGTTCAAAGACAGGCTGGACGTGCACATGGTGGGCATGGCACGTCATGAGTGGAGCCGGCTGGTCAGACTAGATGGCCCGGGAGACCCCTTCTGACGTGCTCTGTTTCTGTGTTTCTATGTATGTAACATTCACGTGTGTGTTAAGAAATGGCAAAAGCTCCAATGTCTCCAGGAGAATATTCAACAGCACAGAAAAAACTGATTCCACTTGCTATTAAAATCATGCAATATTGCATTTCTAAAACTATTATTTCACACACACACGCACATACACACACGCAAATGGCTACTTTCTTTCACTTCATGACATTTCATGCTGCAACAAATGTGGAGGAAGGGACCAGAGGAACACAAAAGGGGAAGAAAGCAATATCTTCAGCTCACCTTGAACTTTGCACCCCTTGTACATCGGAATGAGCCTATCCATATCTTCCGGAGGTTCGAGGACTGGTTCCAGAGTCAGGTCGAAAAGGCTCAGCATGGCAGCGGCCAGCTGGAAGCCAATCTCCTTCGAACTGAAATTGCTGTGTGTCCATTCGTTGGCGTAGTATATGTTGGAGAATTTGGTCAGAGGACCTGCTGCTCTTATGGCCACATCGTTGGTATGGAAGTTGGTATCTATCACAAGCCTCCCATCGTACACCAGACATGCGTCGTTAACCGCCTTGAAGGTGTCATAATCCACTGATTTGTGGGTAAAGCTAAAGAATGCCTAAAAATAAGGTAATGCATTAGCCACCCTGTACAGCGGCACCCTGCCGTGCAAGTCAGGTGCAATGGCACAGCTTTAGTCCGGATCCCAAATGGGAAATGAAACACAAACATACGGAAAATGTTATTTATTTAAGTAGTCACAGCCATATTCCAATAATCAGTTAATAATTAAAACCTTGATTCCTCGGAGTATTATATAATTTGTGTGATATTTAGCATTGAATGCAGATTGTAGCACAGATTTTCCAGGATAATGTACAAATACTTGGAAAGCCACAAAACAGCTGCAGATTTTGAAGGGGCTCTCCAGATTTGAAATGATAAATGTTTCCTTTGGAACAAGCATGAGCATAAAAGAAAACTGTTCTCCCAAGAAGAACTACTGCCACTTTTGAAGAGGTGCATTGTGGCCCAGTTAAATGTAGTTAGTGCTTCTTATCCAAAGGAAGTTCGTCATGTTTGACTCCCACAGAAGATGATGGAGCATTAATGGTGCCAGAATCACTAAGTTACTTCTTTTGCTATTTGGGTGCAGTTGGGAATATGCTGAAGCTGAGTGCCAGAAGCAGGGGAATGTGACTCTGTGATGGTGGCAAAGACTGTGATCAAGCCAACATTAATCAGTGTGGATGGTGATCTGCCCAGTGTTTTGATTCCACCATAGGAGGATTAAGCATTAGTCTGAGCTCACCCACTGATCATCAGGGCACTGCATGGATGCCTGATTCATGGCAACTACATCAAACTCCTATTTGTTCAGGTCTAAAGCTGAAATAAGGGATGGAGAGGAGACAATGCAACTTGTAACCTACAGGGAGCTGGGCAGAGTGCAGACGAATATTTCTGGAGGAGACAAAAACCAAAACCTGATAGATTTCAAGCTCTAAAAAAATATTTTCTACTCCTGGGGCAGATTAATTCTTGGTTTATGAAGGAGCACAGTACCAGTATTTCTACAAAATGCATTTATCTCTGCTAGGGCACCTGCTAAGGAGTACAGCTTTGTGGAAAATGTGTACTTGTGCCACAGACAAATGCAATTCCTGGAGAAGGTGGAAGAACGGCAAAGAGGCCGTGCTGGGGGAACCAGCCCTTGAAGGTTTGTTTGTTTCTGTGTTGGTTGGCTTGGTTGGTTGTTGCTTAATTAGCTGTGCAAAGGCATGGAGATATTTTTAAAAGGACAAAAAAATATAACAGCTCCTCTTGCCCCCTCCTGAAAAGACATGGCAAAGGGGAAAGGGTGCTGCTGCTTGCTCCTGTCCTCTCGAATCTTGAATTTGAGGTTCCGGTGTTATGATACGCTGGGGGACACATATGAGCTGCGTACTTATTCACACTGCCTGACTGGCCTGCTGTAACTGGGAGTGGCCACTTTGGGCCTGCATTCCTCTCACGTAAAGGCCAAACCCAGTCCTCAGAGTTGCCTCTCTCCTGACAGGCCAGAGAAATGAGCAAACCATGGGCTATTCTCCTGGTCTGTCAGGGCAGAGATAAGCCAAGGCGGCGCTCCACAACTCATGCTCCGAGGGGAACAATGCTTGTGGCCACGCTGCTCATAAATGAGAATCTAGGATCCTCACCTTCCTCTGCTACAAACCTCACCTTCCTCTCCAGCAGCTCCTGCGTCAAAAACGTGATGACATGATGGAGCAGCGTCTTCAGTTCCCCTTGGACAAGCTCCCTTCTCAGCAGACAGCAACTTTTGGATGCATTTACCAGAACATTTTAAACTGTAAATTAAAGCCTAAAGCATGGAAAACCTAAGTATTTTGATTTGCATTTTAAAGACTACGGAGGCGCCATAGCGCCAGTTCATTTCAATCGTTCCGGTGCGGAAGAACGTCCTGCACCAGAACTAACTTTCCTTCCGGGCCCATAATTCTATCGCTCTTCGCTGCCTTTTGTCTGGATGATGGGCAGATGCAACACGGTGAAGGCTTGCACTTACGGAGCACTGCAATTTGAAGGGCTTTGTGCTGGTGGTAAAAGAGGCCGACGTGATCGGGTCTGGGTGGCTGCCATCGTTCCACTGAGCCAGAAGGCTCTCGTGGTGCACGGTCACACCCGCCTTGGCCAGCGCTTTCTGGACAGCCCTCTCGATGGCGTTGTTGTTGAGAGCAGTCACGTTGGAGCACAATGGAGGATGCACGAGGTGGATGCGGCCGCCATTGATCCCCAGCGACAAGAGGGATTCTACCGTGGTGTAAGTGTCAATTGTGTTCCCGTAGACAATGACGTTCCCTGGGGAGGGCAACAAGAACACGGGGAGGGGGAATTAAGGCATATAATACAAACCCTATTAGTGTAATTCAGATGATGATAATGCTGGACCGATCTGTGACCCTCTTGTTGCTCTAATGCTATGAAGCAAACAACGTTACCTAGCAACAGTAGCTAAGATAATTTAGCGAAGAATTGGCAGAATACAGCCCACAAAGTAGCAAGCACTTAACGCAGAAGTAGGGCATTTATTAAGCCCCTGGATTCTGAAATCCTTTGTTTTGAAGAACCTTTGCAGGGGAAGGCCTTTTTATCATAACCTCTCTGCCGAGCTGCCCCCAATCTTTTGTTTGGCTGGAGCATTTTTCGAAGTAAAATGAAAAGCCCTGCAGAAGAGATTAGGGGAAATGGGGGAAAGGGGGCAGGGGGCTGAGGTAGGTCGGCCAGCAGAACCCGCTCGCTGGCAGCGACGCTTTCTCATCACTCCGTGGCCCGAAGGAATGCAGGTCCCTTATGCATCTGACCGTCCCCCGCATTTCCTCCGCTCCCCGCCAATAAACAAGCTTCAGGGGCTGGGATCTCTCTATGGAGAGATGGAAATTCTTTCAGACACGTATGGGGCACAGTTCCGATGAATCGTCTTCCAACTTCCCAGTCGCCCACGCGGGTTCACCAAATGGCCTCAAGGGCCTCTTCCTTTGGAGCTGGGCTTGAATGCTAGGCACTTCTGGCCCCACAGCAGACAGCGTCCTTGGGGGCACCACCTTGAGCACTTGCGTGCGTGGGAAAGAAGCGCAGTCTCTGCCCTCCTCAGCAGCTCCTTTCTTGGGGATGGGCATGTGACTTGAATGCTTCTGGTCTCTGGGCCACTCTTTCATTTCTGCATGTGCTGACAGACGTGCATAAGGACCTGGGCCAATCAAGTGCCTGCAGCTTGAACCACTTCTCTTGGGTCCCTATCTATCTGTTCCTTGCTTCCAGAGCAGCTCTCATTTCACTTTCCAATACTGCAGGTTCGTCCTCATAGGATTCCTCTTGAAGGAGCCTGCCATCTTTCCACCTTCATTCTTCTGGGTATCAAAGAGTCATGGAATAGGCAACTTCGAGGGGGTCTGTAAGGCCATCAGGTCCGGTCCCCTGTTCAGTGTAGGACCCTGGACTAAACCAGCCCCCTCAGAGGGCTACCGCAGTTGAATGCCTCCAATGTGGGCAGCCCACCACCTCCCTAGCAAATTGCTTCCATTGCTCTACCGCTCTAGCAGCCGGGAAGTTCTTCCTGAGATCTAGTCAGAATCTGCTTCCTGTGACTTGAGCCCGTTATTCCTTGTCCTGCGCTCCGGAATGATCAGGAAGAGCTCCTGTTTTTCCTGTTTGTGACAGCCTTTTGAGTATTGGTACTGGCCATCATCTCTGCCCTCAGTTCTCTCTCCCTGAGGCTAAACATGCCCAGTTCTTTCCACCTCTCCTCACGGGGCTTTGCTTCTGGCCGCCAGAACATCCCTTTCCAACTTGTCTGCATCTTTCTAAAAGTGTGGCACCCAGAGCAGGACACAATACTCAAAATGGGGCAAATCTGTTCTTTATGTTGACTTTAGGTAGGAATTGATGGAGGTGTAGAATCAAGCTCCACTATGTACCTTATTGTGCACCTTAATGAAGGGTAACGCTGCTCAGTGAAGTGCATTAGCACAGCACAATATTTGGAACACCAATCACACCCAAAACCTTTCCTATCTGTGGGGAAGTAGCGCTACACTGAATCCGATAGAGTTGTTTTTCTCATCTGCTCTGATTCAGATCTTATTTACTTCCCAGTGTTTCGAAATCGAAAACATTGCATATTGCTGCAAAATGCATTTACAAATGAAATCATTATCACATTTGTTAATTAATGAATACAAACCCAGACCCTGCTCTTAGGACTTCCATTTCATGTCACAGAATAATTACAGATAATTCTTATTTCCAGTCTTTATTCTGAGCAAAACCCCCAATGCTGTGCAAAATTGGCAATAAGTTGTGAATTAATTCATAACACAAATCATGGCAGATGAAACATTTTCAAGGATTAATTAGGCTATAATTATGCACTGGAAAGGAAGATACACTGTGCCAAGAAATGCATCAACCAAGCTCCTGAAGCAATACAGCTATTAAAATCTTTACCTGTGGAATAAGTAACTTTTTCTCGTAGCCACTTCATCGCTACCAAGGCATCCTCATCGTCGCAAATAACAAAAAGATTGGAAGGCACTGCTCCCGTATATCTTTGTCCACTGTCTTTTGAAACCTCTCTGTTAGTGAGCAGTTTACTAATGTCTGCGCCAGTCGGGCATGGAACCTGTTTTAAGAGTGGAGCAAATGAATATCCCAGATGAAATAAGCATGTTCATCAGTTAACTGAGTACATTTTCCCATGTATTTATTTACTTTCAACAGTTACAGCTCAGCACCGCCAGCTCACCGCACTGTGAAAGCAAAGCAGCAGGTTAGGCATGACAAAGCAGCGCGGGGCCCAGCTCACCACCAAGCGGAGTGGCGGGGAAGTGGCTCTGAAAGCCGGATAGACGGGGCTGGAGGTGCCCCAATGGGGGTCTTCCATGCCAGGAAGGGGGACCGACCAGGCTGCTCTTCCACAGCTCAGATCCGTGACTCAACCTGCCAGGAGAGGAAGGCTCTCCGATGGGCTCCGTCCTCCACGAGAGCTCACTAGGCTTCATGACCCCAGCAACTGAATCCCATGCACATTTGTAAGGCTCGCTTCTCTTGGTGAGGTTTGCACTCAACTAAGAATCAAGGCATTGCAACCCCATCTTCTGAAATTCATATTATATTTATTAATAAATATGGCTGCATTAATTAGGTCTGGGACATGAAGATGAGGAAAATTATCTTTCCAGTGCTGAGGACCGTATCTGGTGCTAGAGGGGGGGTTGGGGCACAGATGAGTGCACTCAGTGTTCACACACACTCCCGTTCTCTCACTTCCGAATACACTTTCTCCACGCTCTCTTCCACCACAAGATACTTTCCTCTGCTAAACAGAACTCCGCTTAGTTCTAGGGATCTCTCAAGGTTGAGAAGGGGTTTTGCCTCCTCAGCCCCAAGCCATCTCCAGCAATCTTAGTTTCCCTACTGCTACTATTGATGAGAAATGTCACAAGGGAGGTTACAGGATCCCACCTTTCCTCCAAACGCTGCTGCAGTGCTGCTTACATTCCCAGAATATCACCCTTCTGCAGCCCACCTGGGCGTTGGAGGCAGGTGGGCAGGGTGTCCCTGCCTCCGGGGGTTGCAGCAAGAGCTGCGGTCCACTCTGCTGAGAGAGATCAGCAGGGCGAGAAAGGATTCACTTGGAATGCCTCCTCATTTTTCTTCGACAGCTCCAAGTAGGAAGCATACTGTTTTTCAGTCATTCGCTACCTGAGCTCACCTGAAACTGTTGGCCAGTGCAAAGGATGAGATAATCATAGGGAACTTTTCTCTCCTTGGAAACAATCACATGCTTCAGAGATCTGTCTATGCCAGTCATTTTTCCAACCACAACATTAATCCACGAACCAAGGGACATCAGGGCATAGTCATCCTCGTTGAAGCAGTAGCTGTGAAGAAAAGGCAAGCAACATATTGGCTGTGGACTGTGACCATTAGCCAGCTGGTGAATTTGTAAAAGTCCCCTAATGGAGGAGGTTCTTGCTATAGGACCTATGCCTTTCAGCCCATTCATAACTGACCTGGAACTAGGCATAAGCAGCGAAGTGGCCAGGTTTGCTGACGACAACACACCATTTAGGATGGACAAAAACATAAGGGATTGTGGGTAGTGGCTGTGATAACTGGACCGTTCAGTTTAGAAAAAGGGTGACAGGAGACATGCTAGAGGTGGAGAAACTAGAGAGAAAGGCCTCTCTCTCTCTCTCACTCTCGTAATGCTCAAACCCAGGGTCATCTCATGAAGATGACTGGGGAAGGTTTAGGACAGGCAATGTCTAGCTGACCTATGGAATTCGCAGCCACCGGAAACAGTGCTGGCCACCAGCTGGACAGATCCATGGAAGAGGTTATCCGTGACTACTAGCCTTGCTGGCCAAGGGCTACCTCCTTTACCAGAGGTGGCATGCGTGCACACACCAGTTGCTGAGGAGCTTGGGAAGGAGGTGGTCTTGCACCCCTCCTGCTTGGGGAATCTCTTGGGCCGCTAGCTTTCCACCACGTGTATGGAGTGCTGGACTAGACAGGGCCGAGCCAGCATGGCTGTTCTTATGTTCTTACTGTAAAATAAAAATAATAATAAAATAAGCACCCTTTCCATGACAACTGTATTTGCTGTAGATATGATTGGTATTAGCACACGGTTCACCCATAAAGTGTGAATTGAGGAGTAACAACTGCAATTATAAAGGCGGAGCAAATGTAAGTGGGTTTTAAAAGCTATTTTCTCATGTAGTTGATACTTTATTCTGAACTGTAACTGTGATAAGCGGCATGTGCTGGAGAGCTGCAGAGCTGTTTGACGAAGCTGCAGGCATCTGAAGGACCTCGATGCACAGGGACGATCTGAGTGGCTAGGAGAGTGAAGTGGTCAGGATGCCACATTGCAGCCTTGCGAGCTAGCTCCATCATTCCTGGCCAAGGCTACATTAGAAATGAAGTACAACCACGGTCCCCCATGACGCCGCAATATAAGATCAAATGTACATTTCACAGTTGCAAAAGCAAGTTCATATTTTATTTTATTTTATTTTTATTTATTTATTTATTTAGAGAACTTCTATGCCGCCCCATTCGCCGAAGCCTCAGGGCGGCTCACAATCATAAATAAATAAACACAATGTAAAACAGTATAATTTAAGTCGCCCTGCCAAAGAATAAAATAAATAAATAGCATTAACAATTAAAATAACATTTGAATAAAAAGGTCTTTGCCTGGAGCCGAAAAACAAATAACGACGGCGCCAGGCGGACCTCTCTGGGGAGCGCATTCCATAAATTGGGTGCCACTGCAGAGAAGGCCCTCCTCCAGGTACTTGCCCTCCTAATATCCTTCACGGAGGGTTCCTGGAGAAGGGCCTCTCCCGCTGATCTCAAGGGGCAGGCGGGCATATATGGACATAAGCGCTCCTTCAGATAACCAGGACCCAAGCCATTAAGGGAATTATAGGTCATAACCAACACCTTGAATTGGGCCCAGACTTCAATGGGGAGCCAGTGAAACTGACGGAGAACTGGAGTCATGTGAACATAACGCCCCGTCCCCGTCAGCAGCCTGGCAGCTCTGCTTTGAACCAACGGAAGTATCCGGACCGTCTTCAAGGGTAGCCCCACGTAGAGCGCGTTATAGAAGTCAAGTCGGAAAGTCACCAATGCATGTGTCACTGTCACCAGGCAGTCGTACTCCAGGTAGGGGCGCAGCTGGTGGATCACCCGAAGCTGATAGAAAGCGCTCCTCGCCACCGCTGTCACCTGAGCTTCCAGTGAAAGCTCTTGGTCGAGGAGCACTCCCAAGCTGGGGACCTTGTCCCTAAGAGGGAGTGCGACCCCATTCAGGACTAAGTTCAATTCCCCTTTCCCGAAGCCTGATCAGTCAACCAACAGGACCTCCGTCTTGTCTGGATTGAGCTTCAGTTTATTGGCCCTCATCCAGCCCATTACCTCGGCCAGGCACCGGTTCAGCGCAGCCACTGCCTCACCTGGATTGGTGGAAAACGAGAGGTAGAGCTGGGTATCATCAGCGTACTGATGATTCCGCAGCCCACACCTCCTGATGACCTCTCCCAGTGATTTCATGTAGACGTTAAATAGCAAAGGGGACAAAATGGATCCCTGCGGTACTCCATGGCATAGCTGCCATGGCGCAGAGCCATAGTCCCCCAGCACCACCTTCTGGAATCAGCCATTGAGATAGGAGCGGAACCACTGCAAAGCAGTGCCTCCGACCCCCAATCCCGCTAGCCTATCCAGAAGGATACCATGGTCAATGGTATCGAAAGCCACTGAGAGGTCCAGGAGAACCAACAGGGACGCACTCCCCGTCTTTCTCCCTGCACAGGTCATCATACAGGGTGACCAAGGCAGATTCAGTACCGTACCCGGGTCTGAAGCCGGACTGAAATGGGTCTAGATAATCAGTTTCATCCAAGAGTGCTTGGAGTTGTCCCGCCACCACCCGCTCCAACACCTTGCCCAGAAACAGGATGTTGGCCACTGGTCTGTAATTAGTAGCCATCTCTGGATCCAGTGACGCCTTCTTCAGGACCGGTCGGACTACCGCCTCCTTTAAAGGGGCAGGTACCCGGCCCTCCCTCAGAGAAACATTAACCACTTCCAACATCCAGGTCCCAATTCTGTGCTTGGCGTTGTTAATTAGCCAAGATGAGCAAGGGTCCAAAAGGCAAGTGGTGGGACGTACTCGTCCAAGCACCTTGTCCACATCATCAGGCTGCAATAACTGAAATTCATCCATTAATTTTGGACCAGACGGTGACATTGGTATCTCCCCAATTTTATGCCTGTTGGCTGTGCTTGTTGGCTTTAAACAAACCTGTTGATTAAAAATCGCTTGTGCAGATTGTTCGACGCATCTTTCCCTGGAAGTCCATGCGTTGAAATCAAGGTAAGGTTGTTGAACCTCAGGTGTGGACTAAAGAAAGAAGAACATAAACAAAATAGCAAGACAGCAAATGCACCACTGGCCTACATTTACAGATGTAACACTTTGCCTGCGTTCGTATTGAGCAACCGAATATCCTACAAAGGAGAAAGGCATACACTTTACCATGTGTTCATTCACAAACTATTTTTATGTTTAATGATAAGCGCACAATTATTACCAATGCTATATATTTACAGAGTCAACTGCCATCTGCCATGTAAATTCCTGACCCCAGTGTTCAAATACAGTTAGAAGGTTAAAAAGAAAGCGGGTCAGGCTTAATGGAAGGGTGCCATATGTCCTGAAAATACTTCATCTTCACTGAAGATTCTCGGCATTGCCAGATCTTCACCAGCTCCTGTCTTCCCAGCTCTTAAATTTACAGGGCTGATATCTGGATGAACTATGGTTATATGAACAAGTCTTGGACACAAACATTACCATCTCTCCTCTCCGCCTCTGACACAACCACAATTTGAAGCACGTGCTTCCACTTCTATAGTAAACAGAATTACCCATTATGTCTAGTTAGTTTAAACTATGATTGCTCAAACCAAGATCAACACGGTTTATAAAGTTGGCTTGTTTACCAAGCATACTTTAAATCAACATGAATTTCAGTTACTTTAAAAGTAGAAGCCTCCAATCTTTTAGTGTCTGTGACAGAGAGGAGAGGAAGGTACATATATGAACCTGTGGCTTATTCACGCAATGCTAAACCACAGTTTTTAGCTTTTATATCCAGAATGGTCCACAGAGACACGATCTTGAGGTTTGGAATGTTAGAGAGTGGAAGCTTCTCTCACAGGAAAAGAAGAGCTGGGAAACCAGCCATCGCTTCTGCAAGCTGCAGAGCTGAAGGGAATTGCAGAGACTGCAGTCTGGTTAACATGCTGATATGACTGCTCCAGCGACTGTACAGCTCTCATCACCACGAGTGAAGCTACAGGAAATAAACGATCCAGTGGACTTTTCAACCACCAAAGCTCTGAGATCTTGCAGTGTTGGAGAAAGCGCTTGATTACAATTTTTTGGTACCACAGATCAAGGCTTCGTGGCTACCGTGGGTAATCTAGAACACTAAGGGTAGCATGTTCCTCTCTGTAGGGTAATTATCCTTTCGGAAAGAACAGGGAACAACTGTTTTCTTCCATATTGGAGCATAAGAGAATGCTGTTAAATACCAAGCTTCAAAAGGAAGGCTGAGTCAACAAGGTGGAAAACTAACACGAATCTCTCCGAGCTGTTCTGTATGAGGCACTTCTTGAGTAAGTCCTTTAGAAGTCTAATAGCCGATTATATAACATTATTTAGATTTATTTGATAGGTGATGTGATTACGGTTCAGGACTTATGCTATAGGCCAGTGCTGTCTTGAGGAGTCTGGGGTCCCTTGGGCAAAGCATCTTCAAGGTTCTCTCAACTTGAACACGCTGGGCATGCACATTGAGACTTCTACATAATGAATACAGAAGGGGCATTCTTTCTTGGGCCCCAGCAAAAGCCCAAACCTGTCATCTCCTGGACCTGGGGATGATGGAGCCTTTCCTCAAAGCTGGAAAAGTCAGATAAGGTCAACAGCCACATCTCTGGATGCTGGAAACCAAATCCCTGTATGTAGGAGCACTCCACCCAATCCAGTGTGGACGCCTTGGGCAGCTCCCCAGGTAATTAGCTCAGTACAGCAAGGCTGGTGACATTTAGGGGGACCGTGGCGTCACCACTGTCTGGCAGCGACCTTCTGGCACCTAACAACAGCAGACTTCAGTGGACCGTTTCCTGCTACCTTTTCAGACGCTCAGCTGCTGACAGAAACGATGGGATTGGAAACACAAGTGCCTGTGCATTGCATTGCCGTTAGTCAACTGGAGCGCCACTGTTTTTGTGAAAAGGCAGAACAAACATTGCATAAACAAATATCACTGTACAATTGCCACTGCTGACAGTTGAACTCTACTCCACGGAGTCTTTTCTGGAGTTACAGTAGTCATCTTACATTCTTACTTTGCACTTAGTACTGAGTGCTTCCTCATTCTATTTCAGTGTGCGGTGTGAGAATGAGGAGAGATCAACATTTTCAAAGTGTTTGCACTGGGTCCTTCAGACGATTGCGTGATTGCAACTTGGAAAACTATAGATTAGGAATGCAAGTCAGCTGTCGCTCTTCGAGAAGGTCTGGCCCTCGTGTTTCTTCTGGAGTTACTGATCGGCGTGTGCCAATCATGCTGTTGAATGGCAGGCTGCCTGCTTAAGGCTGTTATGGAGGAAGCCTCTTCTAAAGGTGGGTAACTTGGCTCTTTCCCTCTGTTTGGAATGACTTGAGTGAATGCCCTTCACATCCAGTGCAAAGCTGACGTGGAATTAATGCCCCCAGGTGGAGGCTGATCGGAAGGAGCAATCCAAAGCCGGCTATTGGGTAGGGATTGGGGCAGCAGGCCCCTCTTTGGGTGAAGACCACTCCATGTTCACCAGTGTTCCTTCTTGGGGCACACCAGCAGTACCCTCATAGTTTGGACGTTACTGCACAAAAGCAATGCAATTACTTCGATCTAGGACTTGAGTGGAACTAACAAAACAGTGATTTGTACATCTTTGGTTTAGAGTCTCCAAAATGCATCTTCTGAAAAAACTGTGCCTAAAAACAGTTACAAGCGGGCAGAATCATTTTTGGTTTTAATATACATAAAGAATGCTGAATGTCGTGGGCTGTACAAGTACAGGGCATCCTTCGGTTAAAAAAAGCCTCTAAGTTAAGAGCTCAACCCAACCGAGCGTTAAACAAGTGCACCTGTATTATCGAAGCAAATAATTCCAGCAGGGATTCGTGTTGCTGTGGATACCAAAGGGGACGAACAGCTCAAAGATACTTGTAGCGCAGAAGGGATTAGAGTATCTAGGGAAATAAGTAAAAGGTATTGGGTTTCATTGTCTGGTTTAGAGGATGGCTACAAAAAGACGCCTTGACAGCCTTGGCTTTAAAATAAGAAGGATAATGTTGCCAACGTATGGAGAGTATGAAAAAGGAAGCCAAGACAGGTGGCGAATGCTTTGGGTCCTTTTCACCCTTAGCAAATCAGTCAGATATATAATTATTCTTACAGAGGAAAGAAGCTTCTTGTCACAAAGTAGATGCAATAGTTACTTTCAGCACTCTTCAGAAAACAAGTCCTGCCAATGTCAGAAACTTTGAGAACATTTACAATAAGCTGTGCTGTTTAACAGCTAGGAGTCAAGTGATCCAGCCCATGGTTTGACGGCATCTAAAGGCTCAGCTTGATGAAGACAGGCAAGTCTGCACCTGGTTGGTGCTTGGATGAGGCTACCTGGAAATTCTGTAGATGCTGTTGCAAAATCCATCGAAGAAAGGCAGGATATTCTAAACGGGAAATGTCAAAGAAAACCTGTCGTTCTTGAGGCATTGCCCCTTCTACTGAAGCAAAAGAGGCACGTTGGAAGTCTCTGTGTGTAGCAAAAGAATGAAACACGAATGGATGGATGAATGTGTGCCATCAGGCCAGTGTTTAAAGCTAATTCCCACCCATCTTAAAATTGGATTTCCACTTGATGTGGTGATGTGTATTGATACCATAGCATTATCCTCTGTTAATTGCTGCAAATGATGCTCGTCTTTCATTGGGCATGTCCTACATTTGTCACAGACACCACCCATTGTGGCTGTGACTTCACAACAAGGCAAGACAGAACATGCCCTATTTATCTCCGTCTGAACATCGATCTTCTCCATTCGCTCTAAATGGTGCAAGCAGACAATGTCTGAATGCTGCTACTCCCATGATGCCGAGCACCCGGCAAACCGCTGCATTGTTTTGCTTTGGTATTATTTCTCCTCGGCATGGAAAAAAAAGCAAGAGGAAAAGGGCACATATCTCAGCCACTCATGTGGCAAAAGGCAGATAGCATAAAACAATAACAATTACTAAAACATTCATTACATGTTAGCCCTGTGATCAGCAAGTAAGCACTAACTATTTAATTAGTCAACTAATTAGTGGCAGGCAACATGGAAGGCTCCTGACGTTCTCAGACAAATGTAAAGATAGAAAGCCTAATTAAACAGCAAGCATTATGCTGGCTGCTGCCAAACAAGACAGCTGTGTAGGATATTGTGTAATATTGCGCTCCCAGATAACAGGATTTGGAGCTTTCTCCCAAGTAGGGCTTCAAAAGCATGTAATTTCGAAGCCATTTTTAGGCTGCTAAACAGGCCCAGAGGAAGGAAAATGGGAAAGACACTAATTCTAAACAGAAAGCAGGTTTTTATACATGTATTAGCAAGGAAAATGCTGCTTGCTGTGAATGACGCAGGCATATGCAACCTGCCGATGAAATCACAAATTTGCATCAGAATGACTACGAATCAGGAATTCTAAGAACCTCGTTTTGAAAATAACTGGGGGAGGACCAGTCTGTGATCTACTAAATTCCGTTCAGTAATCTACGAAGGTCCTTTGCAAGACCATCCTGCAAAAAGCTCTAAGACATGCTTCACCCTTTGGGCTGCTGCCCCTTCCTTGCACCCCAGGACTGAATTTTTTTGCTGCGTTGCAGCAGACTCAATTGGCTGGACTATACGCCAGGTATGCTCAAAACAAAGCTCTTAGAATTCCCAATTCACCGTCATTCCAATGCAAATTTGTGTAGGTGGGTGGTTGTCCAGGGTGTATTAGAAGCTGGCCCCAGGGATGTCTTACAGCCATCTGGGATAAATTTCTGGGCACTTGCAGGGAAAATCTCTTCCATCCACTAGGACTCCAGAGCTGCAGCAGTTGAATCAGGTAAAGTGCTGAACTGAACTCCCATAGTACCCATTCAACTGCTTGCAGCTCCAGCTGGTTGAGACCCTTCTCCGTTTCAGGCCGAGACCAAGGGCCCCACACCATCTTTTTGTTCAGGTGAGTGTCGTCTGCACGTAACCAGGACGCACAGGCTGGGATCAGTTACAAGGCGTTTCATGATGTTCCCTGAGACATGTTCTCCAGCAAGCCTCCAGGTCTTGGCTCCTGCCTCTGGTGGAGGCCATCTCGCCATCCTTGGATTCCGAGGACTTGACCCATGAAGACTTCACCATGCCACAAGTGTCCTTCCTGTGGCTCCAGCCCAGGGGCAGCTCTTTCAAGAAATGAATAGGAACACGGCATGGTTCCGTGTGCACCCCAGCAAGTCCACAGATCTCTGCGTTGAGGCGATGTAGGGTTATCACATTACATTTATGCCTCACGGTGCTTATTCTTGCAAGGAATCCAGAAATGTCTTGCAAGGTTTTCCTTCTCTCCATTTTGCCTCACAACGACCCTGTGACGAAGTCTGGGCTGAGAGCGTGTGACTGGCCCAGAATTGATCATGGCCGAGCAGGGTCCAGGAATCAGGACTCAGGCCTCCCAAGGCCCAGTCCAGCATCCTCACCACTGCCCTGCCCTGGCTCTTGCAGGAAAGGTCAGCTGAAGAAACTGCTGCAGAAGACATGAGGGAAACATCCCTCACACACAGTTTGAAGACTTACCAAAATATCAGTGTCTCCAGAAAGGAGATTCCGACATTTGATGCCCCTACAACAACTATTCTAGTGTTGACGGACACCTTGGGCTCCAGGGACAACTTCTGATTAAAGTGGTTCAGGGCATACTTCGCCTGTAAGGGGAATTAAAAGAAAAGAACAGCCGGGTCAAAGTGTGGAGAACTTCTTAACAGACTGCCATTTAAAGAGGTATCAGAATGGTTATTCACTGTTCGATTGTGAGCCGCCTGGAGATGCCATGGTGTGACTGGCGGCACAGAAATGCTTTAAGTAAAATAATAAATGAATGAACCTCTAATAGCATTGCAATGGCAGATGCAAATAAGGAGTGGAAGACCTACATCACAGCCAGATCGCCCATTTGCAAAGAGTAAGTGGGGCACTGCCCTCTCTGTGGCAGGCGTGCAAAGCTTTCCCACACCCCTGGAGGGGAATCAGATGCGGGCCCCACGCTGGTGGTGAGCCCGGCTTTCTCACGCCCTCTCCTTTCCTTCTCCCGACCCACATGAAGCAAGTGCAAGGGCTGTGAGTCCCCCCCTCCCCCCGCCGATTTATATCCTGCCTTTTTCCTTCAGAGGGCTCAAGGCAGCTTACATCATTCTCCTCCTCCATCTTATCCTCACAACAACCACCCTGTGAGGTCGGTTGGGCTGAGAGTCTGTGACTGACCCAAAGTCACCCAGTTGGCTCCATGGCCGAGCGGGGACACGAACCCACGTCGCCCGAGTCCCAGTCCCATGCTCTTAACCACGACACCACCCTGCTCTGCTGGGCTGCAACCACACTGCCTACGGCTATGGACAATGGAATAATTTAAAAAAATAGTTTATTTCTAAAAGCAGAATAGAAGCAGTTAACAGAACAGAACAGTCAGGGGCTTGCCTTGGCACGCAGTGAGGTGAAGTGCCATGTTTCATGGAGGCAAAGAGGGGAATAATAGTGGGAATGGCTGGATGGAAAAGCAAAACTTTTGGGGTGTTGGTCCTGGTGTGGGATGGAGACATTGTCCAGGCAACAAACGATTTTGAGACAGGTGCATTTGTACAGTACGAACGATTGCAACCGAATGCATTCATAGGTCCTTTCCCACAGCTTACATGGAAGTTACTTGCAGCCTAAGTAAAAAATAACTGAGTACCTTCTGGGCATGTGCCTTAGCAAGGAGTAGCCCTGAATACACAATGAGTAGTCCCACAACAATGAGCAGCATCCTCACACATTACCGCTGGAGTGGCCCACAACCGATGCTTCCCTGCCTCCCGCACAGGGGCTACCACGCAGGTGGGCGCGCATCAGAACACTTCTTATCTTAAGAGATGCATGCATGCACGCATGGGATGTCCATGCTCTACATGCATAGAGCCCTTATATGCCAGAGCTGACTCCCTTCATGGAACATGCTGAAACTGTCTTGCAGTACAGAATTCAAAGAGAGGAAACATTCTGCAGGGAGAATTATAAACCATTTAGAGCTGCGTTTTAAGAATTCATATTTACTTTATTTTTTCCCAATCTTGAGGTTGATTCTCCTTCCCTGATTATTTCTGGCAGTGCAACCATGACATCCAGTGGCCAATGTCGGTTAATATTAGTCTCAGTTAAGAAGTGTCTCTAAAAAATATCCCGGAAAATGTTTTCCCACAATCTTACCTAGCCTTCAGTATCTGTAGTATGGCTTCCTAGAAGTGCATTATTCTCCAGTCATTTACAGAAACTAATTAGGATAAATTCTTAAACACCATTTCAACACTTTACAGAGAGAGAGGGTAATTTAGTATGTTCCTCAGAACTGGTGGAAATTGTATGCCTTAATATTAAAGAAATTGCTCCCCGTGTTATTCAGAGAAGTTAAGGAGTGGTAGAAGGGTGACATTTCCCTTTGTAGAAAGTCCCTCCCTCTCGTAAAGCCCTTTGATATAAATCATCTAGTGAGGCCGACCATTTGGGGTGAAGGAATGGGGAGCAGGGTGGAACTGGTCTGTGCCAGCCCCAAGAAACAGAAGATCATGGTCTGGGAGATACTTGCCAAGAAGTTCAGAAAAATCTCCCAATATTGGGGTGTTCTGGGGAAGGGAAAGGAAAAAAGGATGCCTTTTGCTTCTCTCACTCTCAAAAGACTCCCTCTTCAGCCACAAAGTACTTTATTCATGAGCAATATAGAGTGCAATGGATACAGACTTGGAAGTGGCTCTTTTCTTGAAACTTTCTCCCTCATCTGACAGCCCTGTACAACACTACCAGTCTCCTGTCTCAGGCTGACCGGAACCTAGGACTGCAGAATATTTATTTTCCTGTTTACCAGTTGCTTACTGGATAAAAGAATGCAAAGATATCCAATAAACAGGGTCTAGGACTTTTAAAGCATCAGGCAATAGCTTTAGTACATCCATGCTCCAGGAATTCCCCCTCTAATAGTGCTAGAAGGGAATCAGAAAAGTGGAATATCATCCATGATATTTCTCTGTCTTCCAAAAATAAAAAAAAATTACAGAGGTCTACAGATGTTTCCCAAATATGCCATCAGATAAAGCACTGAGTTGAGGAACACTAAGCCATACCTGATTTATTTTCTCCCATTACGGAATAAAGCCCTAATCATTAACTAATGCGCAGCAGAAAAAGATTTATTATCTTGAATTGCTGCACCTGGACCTTGTGCTTTGTGGAGCGACTCCTACCGTGGCCACCTGCCTTGCTGTCACGTCTGCTGACAATGGCCAGGGACGCTTCAGATATGAAATGCAAGGACGGCTTTCCCGTGTCACTTGTCACAACCGTTCATTCATAATACTAGTTCATTTCACCTCCACTTCAAATGCTTCCAAAGTATGTAGAAGATGGACATCATTTCTCACATTTAACAATGTATGGCAAAATGCATTTTGTACATTAGCAGAGCATCTCCAGTCTTCCTTTCTCTAGCATGACTAGCAGTATTTTAAAAAGACGTAAGGGCTGTTATTTGTGTTTTGTTTTTCTTATATATCAAATCCATTTTAACAGTTGAGTTTTATTTCCTCGCAAAAGGACCAGAAAGGTACCCAAAAAACTTAATTTTCTGTTTCTAGGCAGGAAGATGAAGATTCAGAGTTAGACCTGCTTTGGCAAAGGCCTTACTGGAATTATGGCATACAGAGAAATACACAGCATTTCTTCTCCTGGGGGCTTGCATGGGAAGCCCGTGTGCAAGGAAAGAATGGGACTATCACTCGGTGAAATGAGAAGAGCAGGAGAACTGGACTTCTGTGTTAATATTATGCCCACCAGGCAGAAGCAGCGGAAAATGGTGTTCCTGCAGCGTTTTCCCCAGAAGGCCTGGGAGGTCTCATGCAACACATTCGGCCACCAGTGGCCACCAGTGGCATGGAGCAGGACAGGGAATCTCATGAGGTTCATACTAGCTGTCCCATGCTACGTCCCTGCAGACATGGTGGCAAGACTGTTATGGAGTTGGCCCTATTTATATTCCGGCCTTCATAAAAATCCCATGGTGACATTAATTAAAAAAAAAAAAAATACAAAACCCAATTCTGACCATGTCTGCTGTGGCAACCACAAGGCAGGCACAATGTGTAGCCCAAATTGTAACTTTGCAGAAGAGGCGCACACTGTTCCAAGGTGGAGAAAACTGACTGCAAGGTGCGGGAGGGTGTCTGTTACAAAGCAGCAGAAGTATTGTATGGTTTGCTCAAGTCGGATCTTGTGTGCCACATCGTGCTAGTGACCTCCGAAATATTAATATGAGCTTCTTGGTATTAAAAAACTATTCTGTAATTATGAAAACTGCTGGCCATGCAGCTACGGAGCCAAATTTAAGATCAGTGTATGTGCACGGCTGTCAAATTTAAAACAGGTATTTATTATTTTAATTCCAATTCATAATTTTGATTAAGAACAATAGAATGGACATAATAGTGAGCAAATCACTGGCTAACTGTAATTCAATAATATATATTCTAAATCTCTGCTTTCTATCAGATACTGTTCAAATCACCTACTATTCTACCTTTAAAGTAGTAAATATCAGATCAAAGCTGCACATCAGGAAGAAGGTACAGTGGTGCAAAGCAGGGTTAGGGCTTTAAAAGAACCCCAAATCCGCTATATTCTTCTTGTATGGACATGCGTCAGAGAGATGGAATATAGGGAATGCTCAGGTTGTGCATGCGTTTGGTTTATAGGAAAGGCAGTGGAACTCCATGGGCTTGCCTCTCAGAGAGAAAGGATGGAAGAATTACATTTCTGAAGCACTGTGGGCAGAATAAACATCACAGGGATGCTGATAAGCATCTCTCTCTTGCTTCTGCGCAGCATTCTGTGCCTCTCCCTTTTGCTGGGAGCGCTGTGCTTCTGGAAGACGACGGCCACAGCAGTTGCGCGGCAGCAAGTTGGGCAGACACAGAAGAGTGGGCACCGGCAGCGGCCACTCCAACCCGCTCCCAAGTGGGCGGTCGCGTTACGGCTTCTTCGAGACAGCCCCGATGCTTTGGCACATCCCAAAAATTAACAGGAGCCGCAGCCTGCTAGGTGGCGGAATATGGCAGCAAGCCCTTCCAACGCCGTGTTGTTCCAGGCCAGTTGGCTTCAAGATGGCAGCAGGAGGTCGGCCCGCTGAAAAGCAAGCTGCACCGTTGCTGTGGCAACCGTACCACGGAGTCACTTCGCTTGACAGCTCCCCCTGGGTTGCCCTATTTGGGAGCACTGTGCCGTGCCTGAGGCAGATTAACTGCTGATCTACATATGGACATCAACTCAGTCCCCGTTCTAGCAACACGTCTGCATTCTGGCGGGCTGCTGCCATTCACATCTTCCTTCTTCCCGTTTGCCGTAATTCCTCCAAGCTGCTCGCTTCTACCCCGCTTAACACAGACTCCTAGCAGGCTTCTTGCTCCACTACCCCCTCTCCAAAAGGAGGCATTCCCATGCCCGTTTCCTTTCCTTGGCCCCATGATCTCTTGTACAGCTCCTCTCCAAGGCCCTGAGTTTCCCCTTTCTGTGCTCTACTGCCCCTTCAAGTCTTCTTTCCACTCACCCAGGGATGCCTCAAATCCCAGATATCGGTTATTCAGCCCTTTTGATAGAGTGCCTACACCAATGGTGGCGACGGAGGCGT